AAATAATAATAAATAAATAAATAAAATCTTTAAAAAAAAAAAAAGCCTTACAGCTATTCTACATAACAGTGAAAGACTGTTGGGGGGGTACGCTTCCATCCTAAGATCAAGAACAAGGCAAGGATGCTTTCTTTCACCACTACCATTTACCTTCTTCCTGGAAGTCCTTGCCAGTGCAATAAGTCAACAAAAATAAATACAAGGCATACACACTGGAGTAAGAAATAAAACTATCTCTATTCAGAGACAACATGACTGTCTATGTAGAAAATCCAAAGGAATACACACACACACACACACACACACATGCGTGCACACGTGTGCACACATGCATGAGGGTGTATACATACACATATACCTTAGGACAAATAATTGAGTTTAGCAAGATTGTAGGATACAAGGGCAACACACACAAATCAATTATATTTCTCTGTGCTAACAATGAACAATTAGAAACTGAAATTAAAAAAAAAAACCAATACCATTTACAATAGCTCAAAAAACCCCTATATATAAATCTAACAAACATGTATAGGGTCCATATGCTAAAAACTACAAATGCTGATGAAATAATTCAGAGATGAAATAATAAATGGGAAGTATGGCTACACTGACTTTATTGATTGTAAGGCAAAACACAGGATTGATTTACAGATTTAACACAATTCCAATCAAAATCCCAGCAGGAAATTTTAGAGAGAGACATAAGTTGATCCTCAAATTTATATGGAAAGGCAAAGGAAAGAGAATAGTTGAAACACTTTCGAAAGAGAAAAATAAGGTTAGAAGAATCATGCTGACTTTGACTCACCACGAAGCTACACTAATCAAGATGGAGAAGTACTGGCAGAGGAACAGACATATTGATCAATGGAACAGAATCAGCATCAAGAATTAGCTTCCCACAGATACGTTTAGTTGGTTTTTGACAAATGTGCAAAGGAAATTCAACAGAGGAAGGATAATCTTTTCAAAAATGGTTTTGAAACAATTTGAGCCCCATATGTATACAAATGAACTCTAGCCCAGATATTCTAAAAAAATCCACTCAAAATGAGTCAGAGATCTAAAGTAGAAAACTTTCAAGAGACCACCTTGGAGAAAATCCTCACGACCTAGGGTCATGCAAAGGTTCTTAAACATGTTACCCGAAATATGATCCATACAAGAAAAAATGATGAACTGGACTTCACCAAGATTAAAAACTTTTGCTCTGCAAAGGGTACCGGCAAGAGGATAAGAAGTCAAGACACAGACTGGAGAAGAATATTTGCAGACCCCATCTCTGACAAACGATTTATCCTCAGAATATATAAAGAACTCTCAAAATTCTACTACAAGAAGTCAAATGACTCCATTTAGAAATAGGCAGAAGAACTGAATGATCATTTCACCAAAGAGAAGATACACATGGAGAATAATAACAAAACATTTAACATCATTAGTCAGTGGGGAGATGAAAACCAAAGTGATGGAGAAATACCATTCCACACCTAGGAGAATGGAGAAAATAATAAGAAAGAAAAGAAATACCAAGCGCTGATGGGGACGTGGAGCAGCCAGAACTCTCCTACGTTGCTGGGGAAATGCAAAATGGTTCAGCACTCTGGAAAACAGTTCGGCAGTTTCTTGTAAAGTGAAACATACAGTTACCATATAAGCCAGCAAATCCCACCCCTGTGTGTGCACCGTGGAAAAATTTAAATGATGTTCACAGAAGCCCCAGTTGTCAAATACACATTTGAGAGCAGCTCTAGTCATAACTGCCCCAAATTGGAAGCAACTGAAACACCCTTGCACAGGTAACTGGATAAACAAACTGTGGTCCATCCCTAGGATGGGTAGCACTTAGCAATAAAAAGGAACAAACTGTTGACATGCACAACTTGCATGAATCTCAAAATAGTGATGCTGAATGAACAGAAGCCAGTTTCAAAAGGTTAGGTTCTGCATGACTCCATTTATATGGCATTCTTGGAAGAGACAGAGCAAATATGACAGGAGCCAGAGCAGTGGCTGCCAGTGGACAGGGTGGGAGAGGGCATGACGATCAAACACAGCAGGGGGGCAGATGGGGGCCGAGGTGGTTCTGTGTCTGAGACTGCTAGTAATAACATAAATCTATGCATCATTCTTAGAACTATACCCCAAAAGGTCAATTTTTTGGTATTTTCATTTAAAAAATAAAATTAAGGAAGAAAAGGACTAACAACTCTCGTTTCCTACTTAAGGCTATCCAGATAATTCAGAGCAAGTCAGTGCTACTGCAGTGATGAACAGGATCTTTGTCGACTGCTTTTGGAACCTCTGCTACCCGTGGGTAACTCCAGCAAGCATTTGGCATCACGGTTTCGAATGTGCACAATCACCCTGGAAGGTGGGTTAGGGTTAGGATTGATATACAGGAAAAACTGAGGTTAAGGGAAGAAAATAATCTGCCCTCTGTGGTGCAGAGCCAGTAAGTGGCTGGGTCTGGGTTTGGCCCCAGCTCTCGCTGCCAACCTCACTCTGCACCTGCCTCTCTGCATGGCTGCTCACTTCAGGGAGGAAAAGCAATGGGACTGTCAGGGAGGGGATCGACAATCGGCGTGCCGGGGAGGGGGTGGGCGGTGAGAATCGCACTTCGATTTATGTGCATCACAAACATTTGCTACGCATTTTTATTCTGAACCCTGAGTTTGCTTGAAATTCTGGGAGTTCAGGGAAAGTTAAAATTGACACTGTTGTTGCTGGCCTACTGGCATTTTCTCAGAGCCCTTGAAGAGGTGGTTCTTAGTTTTCCATGGGATTTGAATAGTTACCTCCACCATCGTACAAATGTGTAGTAATCCATATTGCTTCCTAAGTGAACTAAGGGATAATTGTGACTTAGAATAACTTAACCAAGTATTAGCTAATTCCATAAACAGCAGTTTATACATTTGAAGCCAAGAGAAATCATTTACAAATTCTCTCACACATTTGTTTGTTCTGAGAAGTTATGACAGGCTCTTCCCGCCTCTCATCTTTACCCCACCACACACAAGTACACAAAAAGATTTTAAAAATACACAAAGTAAGTCCATTTTAGAGCCTGAGACAGAAATTGCACATTTTCCACGTAACAAACGATATCTACACTTAAGGTTTAAGGAGGAGTTCAGCCTTCTTGAGTATGAATTATTACCATCTATTTACTGGCTACTACGTGGTTTTCCTTCGCCTAAAGTATTTTTGTCTCAGCCACGATAGAGATAAGAAATGTTCAGGTCTCCAACAAAAGTGTTCTCTTCAATGTTCTATTATTTCTGCTCTGTTATATATTTCCTTTAAAAAAGTAATTTCTGATAAATTTTGACTATCTTTAAGCTTTAATGCAAAGCAAAGCTGAACTAATAATGCCTTCTGCAGTTTTACTGTAGAGTGCTGAGTTATTGCTTCCATACTCAAAATAAAGCCAAGAATAACACAAACTATTTCATCATCAACACCTTTTTTTTTTACTCTTAATGAGCCCAGTCCCACCACCATCAGGTAACAAAAATCTTCTTATCTTTTTTCACCGGTTCGAGGTTCTTCTGCCCAGGAGAGTGGCATGGGGACAACAAGGCCCGCTTACCTTCCAGCAGGTCTCTGGCCAGACCAGGTTCTGCCCCCGTGGACCGAACAAAGTCTGACAGGACTGCGTCCATATCAAGAGTCATAGGATCATGTAGAAGGGCTGCCCAACACTCAGCCGAGGTGGGGTTTGGAAGCAGGCTAGAAACCATCCATCTGCAAGAAAGGAGAGAGGCGCCACAGTGCTGTAAGAGGGGAGGTAAGTGGCAAAAGTGCACGCGAGTGAGCACGCACACAGAGAATGGAGAGCCGAAACCATTTCTGCCCGTGTGGGACAGCGGCCCCATTCTTCAGGTAAGACACTGAATAAAAATCAAACCCAGTGTCATCCCTCTGAGCATGCCATATGAGCCTGGGGGGCAGAACCAACTCCAGTGCTTCGAACCTTACATTTTGTCCATTCCAATGACAGCTGACTGAGAAGAAGATAGACCAGCAATTGCAGTACTAGATATTTGTCCAAAGGATACAAACACAGTGATTCAAAGGGGCACCTGCATCCCAATGTTTATAGCAGCAATGTCCACAATAGCCAAGATGTCCCTTGACAGATGAATGGAGAAAGAAGATGTGGTATATATAGACAATGGAATATTACTCAGCCATTAAAAGAATGAAATCTTGCCATTTGCCATGATGTGGATGGAACTATTATGCTAAGTGAAATAAGTCAGTCAGAGAAAGACAAATACCATATGATTTCACTCACATGTGGAATTTAAGAAACAAAGCAGATGAACATAGGGGAAGGAAGGAAAAATAAAATAAGATGAAATCAGAGAGGCAGACAAACCATGAGAGACTCTTAACTATAGGGAACAAACTGAGGGTTGCTAGAAGGGAGGGGGGTAGGGGGGATGGGGTAACTGGGTGATGGGCATTAAGGAGGGCACTTGATGTAATGAGCAATGGGTATTATAAGCAACTGATGAATCACTGGATCCTACCTCTGAAACTAATAATATAGTACATGTTAATTAAATTGAATTTAAATAAAAAATTTTAAAAAAAGATAGGCTAGATTGTTTAAAAAAAAATCAAACACCTACGTACACATTGATTAATTTGGGGTTACTAGATTTCCAATCCTCTTCCAAGTTAACCAAGTACGCGACACTTCCACAGTGTAACTGCGTTGCCCACTACATCCCAATTATGGCTTTATCAGTAAGCCAACCCACTCCCTTGGTTCTCACCCCCCTCTTGGCTCTTAGGAAAGAGTCCACGCAATCCAGACCCGACTGAAGTACCAAACCTGCTGAAATGACTGCTGAGCTATCTGTCATCTCTCCAAGAATCGTTGTAGTCACAGGAACAATCCAACAAAATTCATAAGGATGCGCAATTTCCCAGGCGGAACAGCCCCGGTTAGAACCATACAAGAGGCATCCTGCAGCTTGACCACAGAACGCACCCACCGATTTTGCTGGAAGAAAGCAATCAGCACCTGGCCTGGGAGGCTCACGCCAGGGAACCAGTGCTGGGCCAGTGGTGGATACCTGGTCATGGCCGATAAATTGGAAATGCATCCCTGGGTTTGCATACGTAAGGGGTGGGCAAACGATGGCCCATGGGCCAAGTGGGAGCTACCATCTGTATTTGTACATAAAGTGGTACTGGAACATAGTCACATCCATTCATTCACATGTTGTCTCTGGTTGCTCTTCACGTGGCTGAGTTGAGCAGTTAAAACAGAGACCACAAGGCCCACAAAACTAAAAACATCTATGAGCTGGACCATTACAGAAAGTTTGCTGAACCCACTGTAGATTTTATACTGATATAAAAGCCCATGGAAAATGTTATACTGGTATAAAGTAAGCATCTAATTAAGTATGTAATTAATTTTACCTGATGTGGGGTGGATTAAGTCCCATGCTATTGATGAGTGTCCTTGTTCCTTCTTCCCAGATAACCACTCGGATGCTCTGCTCTGGGGGCCAGATTCTCTGACAGATGATGCTACTTCAGAGCCAGGCTTGCTGGCCTAATCTGACCCGCCACTCTGACCAGCTGTGACATGCTGCCTACCCTCTCCGAGCCCCTCTGTGCATTTGTAAGACTGGTGGAAATAAGCTTATCTAAGGTTCCAGACCATGGGGAGGGGGGATCAGGCAGGGAGGTGTGCAACCTCAGAGCTGTTCACTGTTTTTATGCCATCTTGCATGTGGCTCTCATGTGGGTGAAATTTTTAGTTGGTGTTGCTAGAAAGTAAGAAAATTATTTGACCTGATGTATACGGTACCAATTAGGAGATTGCTTTCTTCCTTCTCTCCGTGGACCGGAGCCTCGACTGGGAGGGGTCTTCTTTTGTCACTCTTCCCCTGGGGGACAAATCAGAGAATGAGAGCACGTTATTCCCATTTGCAGGCAGAAGGTGAAGGCTTTGCTTCTTGTCACATGAGGCTGCATCTGAGGCCAACTGTTTGCAGCATGCCGCTGCCCTCCTGGGCCCGACAGGCACCTTCCGACAGGCCAGCTATCGGCTCCCGTATTCATGGGGGCTTCTGCAAGGGAGGGGGCATCTCAGCTTTCCTCATTTTAGCAAGTATCTATATTTCAATGAGTATCCTGTTCACAATACAAAGCTGTTTTGTTTGTTTTAGAGAGAGAGCAAGAGCATGGGGGTGAGGGACAGAGGGAGGACAGAGAATCTCAAGCAGACTACCCGCTGAGCACGGAGTCCAATGCAGGGCTCCATCTCCCGAGAGATCGAGTCAGACGCTTAACCGACTGAGCCACCCAGGTGCCCCTACAGAGCTGTTTTAAACCTTACTACGAACACCGTATTAATACACTGAACCTTAGCTGTTTTTTTTTAATTGTGAAAATATACTCATAACATGAAATTTACCATCTTAACCTTTTTGTACAGGTCAGTGGCATTAACATTCACACTGTCATGCAAACATCCCCACCGTTATCTCCAGAACTGTTTCTTCTTGGCCCACTGAAGCTCTGTCCCCATTAAACACTCACGTCCATTTCTCCCTCAACCCCAGCATCTGGCCATCACCGTCCGACTTTGTTTCTGAATTTGACCATTCTAAGTGTGTTGTATAAGCAAATCATATGGTATTTGTCCTTTTGTGACTGGTTTATTCTGCTCAAGCATAACGGCTTCAAGGTTCATCTGTGTTGTAGCAGGTGTCAGAATTTCTTTCCTTTTTAAGGCTAGTCTTGGTCCTTGAGTGCCGCTGTAACACAATACCACAGACTGGGCCGCTTAAACCACAGACGTTGATTTCTCACCATCTGGAGGCTGAGCAATCCGAGATCATGGTGTCGGCAGAGCTCGTGTCTGAAGGGCCCACTTCTGGCTTGTAGATTGCCACCTCATTGCCGTGTCCTCATGTGACTGAGAGAATGAGCTCTAGTCTCTTTTTCCTTCTCAGACGGACACTAATCCCATCATGGGCTCCATCCTCATGACCTCATCTAGACCTAATTACCTCCTGAAGGCCCCACCTCCTAATATACCACATTGAGGGTTGGGGCCTCAACATCTGAATTTTGGGGGGATGCCCAGATGCAGTCCACAACAAGGCTGAGTGATAGCCCATTGCATGGATATACCACATTGTGTTCATCCATTCATCTGTAGCTGGATGCTTGTGTTGTTTCCACCTTTTGCTTATTGGGAGTAACGGAGTCTAAATCACTTTTCCACTTTTACAGGTAAGTCACCATGCTGTGACCACGACAAGCTTTCACCAGTGTTAAGAGTACAGGTTTATGCCCACACCACCTCCTCTGTACCTTGTCCTCCATGCAGAGATCAAAGAATGGGGTTAAAATAATTTTTTTT